GTACTAATGAAACTGGTGTTTAAAAAATTCGGCTCATTCCGTGTAGTTATCTAATGCTGGAAAATTCTTTCCAATTGCATCGTCAGTGTTAGTTTTCCTTTTCCTACCCATCAACTCATTCACGAGGTCCCATGTTTTCCTTGGGTTTTTTGCAGAACTAAATTTGCTAGTATAATGATTTCTTTTGGCTAATCTAATTTTAGCAGTTAACTTATTTCTTAGTACACGATATTCGGTTTTTCAAGTGGTATTACCCGGATTTTGTTTACATCTATGCCATAACCTTTCTTTCAAATGGGATAGTTCTGAAATCTCTTCATTAGTCCAGACATTTTCCTGTTTTCTTTGCTTCAATTTTACATTTTTGACAGATATTTTATATATCTCTTTAAATTTATCAACGAGTAAGTCGTAAGCGGTAACATGGTCATGTACTAATAATGAATTCCAGTCATACATACTGATAAGATGGTCTACCTTTTTGTTATCCAAAATGGGTTTAAATACCCTCTGGTTTGACATTTTATTTTTTGGACTTTCACCCAATATTGCTAGTGCTACTAAACAATGATCAGCTACCTTCTGTTGAATTACCGCCGGCACTAATGTTGCACTACTAATTCTGATAACTATGTGATCAATGCATGACTTAGTTATTGTAATGTCATAATATTCTTCTCTTGTGTAATCCCGTATCACGTTCTCGAGCCCGAAGGAGGAAAGTGTGTCTAAGTAGTTTGAAACCCCAAACTTATTCTCGTTTAAGACATCTATGTTAAAGTGACCAGGAGTGTGATATGCTGGTTGTTATCAAATTGGCGCAATAATGGTGAGAGTTCCTTACAGAACATTTTTATATTAGAATTTGGCGGTCGATAAACTGCGCATACAATTTAAAAAAAATTTATGCCTTGTGAACAGAAATTGCGCAGAGTTCTGCATGGTCAAGGGAAACGTTAATTATTTCCGACAAACAGCTATCATATATAAACATCAGCAAACCTCCTCCCTTTTTTCTTTCCCGACAAAGACAGCACGAATGAAAACCAACCAAACTATATTCCACACATGCTTCCTCTTCGATGTTTATTTCACTTAGTATCAGTACGTCCAGGGACAACAGCTTTCCGAATAACAGAACCAATAATTCGTCCCAGTGTTTGCGTAAACTTCTAACATTCACGTGTATCAGACTGAGTTATCGATCGCTACTATCGTGTTCTGCTAACAAGTGTGCGATAAGACTCTCCCATTCTTGAATGGTGGCGAATGTGCTTTCCATTTCTATGTAATCTTAGCTAAGTCTCTTTCGCATTCGATGCGAGGGGCACCGGCGCATCCTTTTCGCCTCACAAAGATTTTACCGTTTCACACCCACACAAAGTTATATGACTTTGCTTTTGCGCATTCTTTAGTAGAACACAACAAGTTTTTCAGAGTTTTTGTTAGATTTTCGTTATTATAATTTTTTTTCATTCCGTAAGGTCACGCGCTTTGTCATCCAGAGGTCCCGTGTTCTCTCTTCGACAAACCTTACCAGGATTGGCGCTGTTTTTTCTTCCCTCGCCCCTAGGCGGTGAGCAGCCTTAACGTCCTCAGGGGCAAGTTGCGGCAGCTCGAGTTTATCGACCAAGTTCTTTACAACTTCTAACATATTCTCGTTTGGTCGTTGGGCGATTCCATGAATTTCGATATTTTTGCGCCGGGGGTACTGCTCCGCATTATCCACTGCTATCTTTAGTTCCCTGATTTGCAGGTCCTGCTCGTTTACTTTTGCTTCTAGTTGACCCGTCCTCTTTGTCAGCTCCTTGATTGTAGCGCTCTGCTCATCCAGTCGTTTAAGAAGTTCATCGTACTTCCCTGACAGGGTGCTCATTGATGCATCAATTGCTTCGACAGTTTTCCCATGCGCATCTAGCTTCCTCATGATTTCATCGTCTTTACTGCTTTGTTTTTCTAGAGATTTTTCAACGCCTTCCATCCTGTTTAGGATGTCAGATAGTTTCTTATAGATAATTTCGTTTGTGGGCAGCAACTTATCTACATTCAGCTCGCGGGAGCCACTCGAATTTGCCCTCTCCCCTTCTGCGGGGTCGCGCTCATCGGACGTTTCATACTGACGGGAAACATGAAGTTTGCACTTGTTACATTTCCACGTATTGACGCTCTCTGCCGTCATTGCCTGCAGGGACTTTTTCGTACCGCCAGAGCACTTTCCAGTATGGTACTTGTTTTCGCATTCTGAGCACTTTAGACTGAGACCCCCTGCAGACAAAGAATTCATACACGCAATACATTCGTTTTCTCCCGCCATATCACAGTTTTTAACGCAAAGAACACTAATAGGCAGTCCAGCGAATTGCAAACCCGTAGGCTCACGCTAACGTATTGAGTCAAAATCAAGCTTACCTAAAACAGAAAAGGCAGCGCTTAGCTCTGGGCATAAAACATCTCACTGGTCTGCGGCGTGCTGTTTTGCGTTTGGCGCTTTTGTAGGCGACGAAACCAGGCTCTCGGTGTCACAGCAGATAACCGTGGCGCTAGCGCCGTGGCCTGCTGCGGCTCGCTGAACTTCCACGTGACGAAAGCTGCCGATGACTGGGCAGCGGGCGATCTTGTTGCTTGTCCCTCCTGCGCTGGGCGCTGCTTCGCAAAGCCGAAGGGCTGCGGTCGTGGGAAATCAGACTTGACACCGTTTACAGACGATCGTTGCCTAAAACAGAAAAGGCAGCGCTTAGCTCTGGGCATAAGGCATCTCGCTGGTCTGCGCTGGTTGTTGTTCTACATTAGTAGAACAACAACCGAATTGTTTTTGCTAGTGACGTCATCGAAAACCCGTAAATTTGTCAATGTTGGGAAGACAGGCACATTGCGCCACATATGCCTATGGTAGCGTGGAAGTTGTTTCTCTCGTCTATATAAATTTTTGTCGCTTCTGCAGAAGACTGCGTTATTTATCGAAAGTTTCATATTCCCATAGACCATGATATACTTCGAAATGACCTTGACGCTATATGTGCGTGGTGCTCACAATGGCGATGAGCATTAAGTCCACAAAATGTAAGGTAACGAACATTGCCACAATCCCAACGAAATCCTTCATTCAATATTTATTAGTAACGATTCAACTGGAGGCGGCAGCATTATAGGACCACATAAGCTGGGTGTTCATTTTTCATAAACAGAATCGGATCAACACATCGAGAGCACAATCAACGGCTCACTGAAGTCAGTTGTACTTTTTAAAGCCGGAACATATATCTTGCCCACCTAGCAACTAAATTACTAGCTTATAAAACAATAAGTCTACCTAAACTGAAATAGGAGAGCGTTATATGGAATCCACATCAAAATTACCTAACTTCCAATTTAGAGTCTGCTCAAAAGAAGGCTGCACGGTTTATCTCTAAAAAATTCTCACCTGGAAGTAGTGTATCTGCTTTAACATTCAATCTCAATCTTCCTTTATTATCCAAGATTCGCAAAATCTACCGTATATGTTTCTTCTAGTGCACTGCGCCAGCGCATGATTCAGTAACACTTATTGCCATCCTGCTCGTTACATATTTGATCGAACCGATAGTTCATGTAATGCTCATAAGTTCCGCTGCCCCTCTTGTTCTTTGCTATTTTATCCCCTCATATGGTCGATTACAGAATGCAGCGACTTGCCAGGACAGATGGATACTAATAAAAATTATGAGTCATTACTGAAATGTGCGAGCGTCTGTGTCCCGAGTAGAAAGGCTATAATTTTCGTACGCCTTATTCACCTTATTTCTGATTTATGTTAAGTAGAAAATGAGTTTAGTGTAATGTACTAACCTGAATACGCAACTTGTTTTAGAGCACAGCTCTTTGGTGCCCGTTTCCGGGTTGAGTGGCTTCGGCGTCGGCGTCGGCGTAACCGCGCGTTACATTAAGGAACGTTTCCCCGCTAACTTTAGCGCGAATATTTCTTTGCTTTATTTAGCGGGTTAAGTTGCCCGGCTAAGTTTAGCGGGGAAATTGACGTTACATGACGGGAACATCAATTCAGTTTCGCGCTAAATTTATCGAAAAAAGTTTCGATAAATTTTCACGCTATATTTTGCGGGAAAATGTTCGATGAATTTGCGGCTAAATTTAGCAGAAAAAAATTTCGCTAAAATTCACGCTAAATTTAATGGGTATGCTTCCGCGGTAAATTTAGGGGGGAAATTTTGCAAAAACATTTAGCGGGAAATTCACCAAAAATGTTTCGCTAAATGGGATGGGAACAGGAGAGGAGGGGAGGACGGTACGGAGGGAGCGGAGGGGCATACCCTCCCCTCCGTACACTCCCCTCCTTTTCGTCAGGAGCTCCGCTCTGATTTGGCATCACAATAAATGGTAAACGTCTTTCCCTTTTTTGTTAATTACATGTTTGCGTAATCCTGTTGTTAATGATGTCTTTTACCGCCATCCCCTCTCTTGTCATGCGTCCCTAAAAGAAGCCTTTGAGGTGAATAAACTGAATTAAATTAAATTAAATTAAATTAAAAAATAATTATCACGAGTGTTGGAAGTGCGCTTCTAGACGCCATTGTTTTATGATTCATTTGTGTATGTTCTAGGTTTACCGTCCGCCAACTCTCGTGCTCGTGTTGCCTTATTCCTTCGGCCATCATTTCACATGGGAACCATTTGACCTCGTTTAGATCGAGGTTACAATATAGCATTGGTTGCAGATTTTTCTCCAAAGCCATTCTTTTTCTCCGCGTTATTTCGAGGCGCTTCATTTCTATTTCGCTACTTCCGTTTAAACTATTTCGACTCTGTGCTTTTTATTTAAAATAAGTTAACCTTGTTTTCAATAGCTTTTTTCTAAACCAAATTCTACCAGAAAGCACACGCGGATTCTTATGATCTAATTTAATTGTTTGTGCTGTTTATTCAGGGTATATATGTGATAGCATTCAAAAACTAAAAGCAGAGCCGATTCAGTTTCATTCGAGGCATGTGTATTTTGCATACCACAGGGGTTCCGGAGCCAGTCATCGTGGGCATCGGGGCTTATAACTCCACATCCTTCTATGTGGACTGGACGTACGACTCTCACGAACGAGCGCACATCTTCGACGGTTTTGAGATTCGTTATTGCAAGTTTGATCACTCTGGTTGTTTTGTGAAGCACACGCATAAGGGCCACGTGACCGTGACTCACCAGGAGCCCGAAACGCATTTTCGCGTAAACGTTGGCGCCGTTCTCAATAGCCACGGCTGGGGAAAGAACGATCTCGGTTGCGTTGCGACCGCAATAGTGTCAACATGGGCAGACGGTAAGTCTTTTCTTTATAATACTTAACGCGAATCTTCTTAAATTCACGTATTTTTAATACATATAGAAGAATTTTAGGCAGAAAAACTTATCGCAGAACGAAAGTAAATATAGGGGAAGCAGGATTTATTCAAGTTTATTTATGCTGGTTAACCAGTTTACCTTCAACTGGCTCTGGTTGGGTAGACGAAAATTTGCTTTCAGGATTTGCATCCTTATAATTTATTAGTTTTTTTTTTCACTCTAGAATCAAACTGCTCGAGAGTTAAGGTTGAATACTTATGCAGTCACTAGGCAGCTTGCATAAAGAGGAGCACCCGAATTGTGTCTTGCCACGGTAGACAAAAAGAACAAACCAAAAAAAAAAACTGCTCCTTTAAACTTCTGGTTAAGGCAAGGGTCGCCCAGGTGTTTTGTTAAAACATCTCATTAGCCACCATAATTTCTTCAACTAGGAATTCGTACCTATGTGGTGAGTTAACACGTTTAGTTATGTGAAACCGGCCTTTTTCATTTTGGAAATCGCTGCACCGATTCGGCCCACATAGTTGTAAATAAATAAAGGATATAAAAGCATTAATCACGAAGTTTGATCAAAGTCTTTGCACAATTTATTTCTGAAACATATAGGTTAAAGCAGTATGATTCCCATTTTCGTATTTCTTGATGATTTTGTTTAAGAGAGTTTTATAATGTTGAAAATAGTTTATTCAAGTGAATATCAGGAAGCATTGCGATAGATGTTATACTCAGTTCTAATGTAGAAACAACAAAAAACAAAATACTAAACTTAAAATGCTGAGTATCACTCAGACCGGTTAAAAATATGCAGTTCCATCTCGACCTACCGTGGATGTGAACAGCACGTCGGCAATGAGCGTGGATTTGTCATGGATGTTTGTCAACAGCACCGTTTCAGTCATACAGGTATGAGTTGCGATTCTTCTTCCGATGGTGCTTGGAAGAGTTGTTTCTCAAACAATGCACATATGTTGTATTTCGTTTTGAAATATTTTTACTGACAAATAATTAATATGAATGAAAATGAGGCCCGTAGAGCACCTGTTCACACCCATGCTTCAAAAACAAAAGCAGTAAATCAATAAGGGCGAACGATACAGAAGAAGGCTGGTGTTTGAATATGTTTAATTTATAATCTGCAATGTGAGTACTGTTAATAAAAATATTACCCTAATCAAAGGACAACACTGATATGTACCCAGCTTCAATGCTTTACACTGACTAAAATAGTGATGCTGTTGAAGTTTATTGTTAATTTATTAAATAAGCCGCTTGAATCGTACACTTCTTGGCTGATAAAAGCAATCATGAACCGCCTAGTCTCTAAATTGATGACCTTTCATTTAGCTTCAAATCTCATAGACTAAATATAAATACTCTTCAGAGCAGACCTTAATAAGCGCGATATCATTTATTTTATTTCATAAAATAGATAGCTAAAAAGAACGCGCCATGGATCAACTGCACACGAAATGGTAGCATCTGTAGCACAAACATGGATTTGGGTTGGACGTCTCTACAAGAAAATGGAACTCTAACGCTCAGGAACCTTCAGCAAGCGACCCATTACATGTTCTTTGTAAGGGGCTGCAACGAGAACGGTTGCGGCGCTCAAGCTACTGTCAACGTTTCCACGCTTGTTGCAGGTATTTACTTCATCCTTCGCCATTTTACAAGTCAAACCTTGATCTAATATATGTTTATGAGTTATATTCTGGATACCTTGAATTTGTCTTGCCTCTCATTGATTATGATACAACTAAGTACGTTTTATACGCAATTGGTTTTTACGAAACTTCAGCAAATTCCATTCTGCGAAAACTACGCATCACACACTCAAAAGAAGTATATATATGTTTGGTACCTGCCCAAGGGCATATTAAAACATCACTCAAGTTCGTAATATTTGAATAATTCAGGGTTTCCGTGGTAATCACCATTTTCATCGTTGAATCTAAGGATGTGGTTTCAATTGGAAACTTGCTGCACATTAAAGGAAACCGCTGAGCAAACAAATAGCAGAAATATGTAAAGCTGGTGCATCATATCACCACGTTAAAAGACGCAATTTGGGACGGTGCTGACCCCCATGGTCGGCGAGTGCAACGCGCGTGTACAGTCATGGTCAAAGACACACGAACAACGGACAAAGGGACCGGTTCATCTTCTTTTTTTTTCTTTCATCATGAATATTTTAGTTTTGTGAGTCACCGCCAACGACGCTGCCTTTACGCTGCGGTCTTGAGGGTTATGCTTCGAAAATAGCGCCGCTCCTTCATAGGAATTTGTGTCACTGCGATGACAGACCGTGTACCCGCGGGAGCTGCGTATTCTAGATACAGATACTGCCTAGTCATCCGGTTGAAGACGCTCTACGTTTATAAAAGGCTTCGGTTTTCGATAGCCCACAGTCACTGTTGCTTGTGAGCTTTCAATTCAATCATTATGTTGAAACATAAGACGACCTTCTTTGATGAAAGAAACAGAAAACACGCACTTAGAGCACACTGCACAGCACATGACATGGCCACATTGTTAGTGCTCTCGTTTCCTCCTCATCACGACAGCCCTTCGATTATGAAGGGCAGCAATTCAAGGGAGGGCCTACCTTCAAAAGAGCTAGCTGCGCCGCGTGTAGTAAATAGTGGAAATAACTACACGGCGAGAAACAACAAAAATAGTCCCGCCGGAGAAGTACCAGCAACTTCCATCGGAACATGCTCTATGCCTCAGGAAGGCACACACACCTATCTTCGTACTTCTTTTGACCATGATTGTACCAAACCTCCTTCCCTCGTACGAGGAAGGCGAATCTGCCGCTGCGCGCCTCAGCAACTGGTGCAGGACCGTTGGCGCCAGTATGCTGTCCAATAAAAACTTCTCTATATTGATGTGGGCTCCCAGATTAATTGATTAGCCCATATAAATTTTATTCAACCATATCTAAACACAGTAACAGGACAAATGTGCCTGCCATGGGCATAATCTTTGGGGCCCTTAGAATCTGCTAATATCAAATATTGTTTTTTTTTAATATTTGCTAATATAAAATATGGTTTTTTTAATATTTACTAATATAGAATATTGTTCTTTTTTATTTTACACACCCGTTATATTGTGAGCATAGCTTACACAGGGCCCATTGTTTTATATGCTGGTCATACCAACGTCTTTTTTTTTTTCTAAAATGAACTGTTCATCTGCAAGAGATTTTAAATATCTCGCTCGGTCATCAAGCTCTGTGTTTAAAATACAATACGCTTAATCTAAAAACTAAAAAAGGGCATCTGTGCTGTCTTAGTAAAAAACAAAACAAAAATATAAGAAATATTATTTTAAATCATTAAAAATTGAGCGCGTTAAAACCCACAGGCTTCACAGGTTTCTTGGTGTTTTTTATAAGAAGCTCTCATTTCAACACAAAGTATTGAAAAATGAGACGTCAGATATCCAGAGCTATATGTATCCTAAACAGGTTAAGACAATTAGTACCAAAATGGTTTAGGTCACAACGATACAGTTAATTTATCTATTCACGCCTACAATATGGAATGATGATTTAAGCGATAAAACAAACAAAAATAAATTGTGATTGCACCTTTACAGGCATCAGTACTCAATACCAGCTTTCATGAGCAGACCATGAAATCTTGAGGAAATCACGACCTTTAAAGAATCAGTTATCATGTTTAGAAAATTAGGCGCAACCAATCACTTTTAGCGTATATCCTAAAACCCCAGGAAAATAAAGTTTTGGATGCAGATATTACGTAGAAAGCAAAATTTGCACAAACTATGGCTTCTATAGTCAGGTACAGGTTAAAAAGGTTTCCGATAAAAAAAAGGCTAGGGAGAAGGAATCAGACGGAATGTTGGAGAGAAGATGGGCTTTTCTCCCCTCTTCTCCAGCATCCCCCTTGCTTCGTCCTCCACAGCACTGCTTTTTCTCTAAAACTTTTTTTATAGCCTGTAATGGACTATAACAACTAGAATATCTTAACCGGGTCATTCCATGGCAAGAATTCCGGAGCAATGTTATTATGTCCGGTATAAGTACAAAGAATAATTTTGGATAAACAAACCTCTCAACTGTAAAAATGTTTTTTTTTTTTGTGAAAACTTTTTGTTGCTGTTATCAAGTTCACTTTTTCTAGATTGTCAAAAACCCACGTATATAGTTTACTTTTTCTAGATTGTCAAAAACCCACATATATAGTTAAGAAAAATATCATATAAATCGGTTGCGTACCACACGAACTTAAGTCGGCACCTAATTACCTTACAACATGTAATCTCTTGCAGTAAAATACAAACATTGAAAGACGCCATTTTCAGTCCATAGAGGAGATTCAAAAAAGAAGAGACTTTATGAGATGTCTTTATCTTTTATAGTCAACTTAGTTCTTGGTGTTAGCTAAAATACATTTTTCCATTGTTCTCTTAGAACTAATAATTGAATTGCTCGTATAAAATTTTCATAGCCTCGTTTTGATGCGTTTTAATACTTTCACAAAATCTCCAGTTTATGCAAAAACGACCGCATTGAGAGTCCAAAAACCAGTGTGAACAGCGGTGCCCGGAACTTTCCAAAAAAACAGAACTTGAGTTCACCTCACCTGTTCAACATATCAAAAAACGGGAAAAGTAGTTCTTGTTGTTCAATAAAACTTCTTTTTTTTTTCCTTTTTTTTTGTAAAGGAGCTTCTTCGGCTGTGACTTCCACCGCCCGCCTCGCAGGCGACGTACGCTCGCGTTCCCCAGGGAGGCGTCGACGGTGCGAGATGCCGCCGCTAGGTCTTCAACGATCTCCGGAAAACACGTTTTATTCTTTTAAAATACACGGTATCCTGATTTCCATGCACCTTATCCGCTTGACGTTACGAAAAAATACTGGCGTCTTAATTTTACTCTACTTCTGATCAGGTAACTGCAGACAAACGCAGGTCGAGGGGAAGGGGTGTGGTTAAAGTGCTGATTTTGTGGCTCCCTTTGTGTTTGTTGCTTGCCTTTAGAACAGGGGTGGCCAAGCTGTGGCTCTTCGCGTGTTAAGGATCGGCTCGCGGCCCCCTCCTCTACTCCCCCCCCCCCCTCTCTCCAGTCGCCTTCTTCCCGGTCACACGAGCACTTCCCGAAAAAGAGAAATGGAACAAGTGTTAAATCGAATCACAGGTTTCGGTTTGGTAGGCTTGTGCTTCTGCTACCTTACGTGCAGTTGGACTGCTTTTGACTCGGATAGATTGAAATTAGGTCGAGTATCGTTTATTGCCCTGGACAGAACTTCCCCCTCCCCCCCTCCGTACTTCCAAGAATTTCGTTAGTTTGTTCCTTGCTCTTTTGTGCCACGGTTATGTGAACTTTGGCAACGTGCATCTCCTTGTGGGTTTGTTGGTCCATTTAAGGAGGTGTTATGAAGAATAACTATTTTGCTTGGTTCGGAGTTTTGTGTCTGTCCGTCCTATTTTTGTCCCCTCGCTCCTGGGTTATCACGTCTGCGACGTGTGCCTCCCGAGTTTAGTAATGCGTACTACGTCTCGGTATTGTTTGTCCTCTGTCCAGATATAAAAACAATTCAGACCGGATAGCTCTTCATCGCAAGCAAAATGGTAACAGTGATGACACTTTTCCATTGAACTTAAATGTATTGATAAAACATGTTGTGCTACCAAGACCAGTGTGATGATTAAAGAAGCATTCCACTCTCTGTGGCGGGCGCCTAAAATCACTAAGGTTGGGAACATGTGCAGTATTTTAGGCTACGGAATGCACTGTAGACCAACCTAGCATGTCTCAAATTTTAAACTCACTATAGTATTCTTAGAAGTGTGTTTGATAAGAGGTTGGAGTTACTTGGGTGCCATCTTCGCTACCTGAATGTCACGATCGACGGACATTAGGAAGGCAATAACCCTCATAGGAAGTCGGCTTGTTAGACAAATTGTTGACTTTTTCATTAATGGTTTCAAGGCTGATGTTGCAATTGCAGTATTGACTTCACCAGAGGATTGACCAGTTTACGAAGATTGCGAAAATGTAATCCCTTCTTAGATATTCATCGATCAGATTTCGCGTTTTTACTCCCGATTTCAAAAGTGCGCACAAAAGGATTGACACAAGCCCTACCTACAATGGCGCTTAGAAGAGTGACATTGTCGTTTCCATGTCGTCGTAACTCCCTCGGCAGCACGTCCTTGGTGAGTGCGCCAACGAACTTCCAGTATATTCTTATTCTATCTCAATGCGTTTAAGTTCAATGGGGAAGCGACATCAATGTTATCATTTTCCATCGGTTAAAAGCTATTCGGTCTGGATTGGTTTTACATTTGGACATACGACAGACGAGGCCGACGCGCAGTGTGCATTCCCAAACTCGGGAAGCAGATGATGGAGGTCTGCGCTCGTCGGCAGTTACTTCAACAGAAGTAGAGCAAAATTAAGACGCCAGTATCATTACGTAACGTCAAGAGGCTGCGGATGCGTAAAAGGAAGGATAACGTCCACCTCAACCGAGTAAAGTGTGTTTTCATGGCGCAGTTGAAGACCTAGCGACGGCGACTCAAACCGTTGCCGGCTCGTTGGCGAACGCAGGCCTGCGTCACCTACGAGGTTGGAACTTGGAGGCATGAGCGGAGAGGCTCATATGTAAAAAAAAAATATGTGTTCATCAGCAACAACAAGAAATACTTTTCTTATTTTCCGACATGTGGAAGAGATGTGGTGGTTAAACGTTTAGCCATTTCGAAAGTAGAAGGCACCAATGCCCACATTGCTTTTTTTCTTGCACTCAATAAGACCGTTTCTGCCTAAACTGGAGAATTTGCCATTTAAATAAAACTTAACAAAAGGAGGTTTCGAAAATTTCACACATGCAATTCAATTATGAGTTCTCTCAGAGCAAAGAAGCGTATGTATTATAACAAACACCTCAGTCCAAATTGACTAAAAAAATATAAAGACATCTATTAAAATCTCTTCTTTTTAGAGCTTCTATTTGGACTCAAAATGGCGCATTTCAAGGTTTGCATTTTACTGTAAGATAGGGCTTTATTCAGTAATTTGGTGCCCACTTAATTTTTTTGTTTCGCAATGGTTTTTTAAATGTTTTTATTCACTACATTGGTTTTATGCAAATTAAAAAAAATTCGCACAAAAATAAAAAAAAATTCACAAAAGAAATACGTCTCTTGCGGTTCCAAGACTTCTTTATTCAAATTTGCTTTCGTACATATTCCTGACATAAATAAATTGCCGTGTCTCGTTTGGTATGGAATGACCAGCCCCTCATATATTAAATAGACACGCTGTGATCGCTTAATTCGTTTAAAGTACTTGCTCTCCATACAATAAAAAGAAAGCCTCCGATGATATAATACTATTGATTATGGATATGTATTTGGTAGCGAAAATGTGTAGATACACGGATTATTAAGTATGTGTCGCATGTCCCGTTGACACTGGTAAAAATCTGTTGTTCTTCTTTCGTTCACTTTTTTGCTGAGTGCGGTTGGTAGCCAGGTGTTCCCGATCAGAAGGTGATCTGGGCTTAATTTTTCCTAGCGCCTCGGATTTTTCTCTCTAAGAAAGGATAAAAAAATATCTGCCGAGCCGGGGATTATCACGTAAAATCTGAAAACAAAAAGAAAATGGATACAATAAAAGCTCTTCTAATTAAAAATGAAAATGACAATTAATGAAAAAACTGTGGAAAGTAAAATATAAAACAGACACTGCTAAAGGCATTGACACATCATGATATGCAGAACCGTTTTTATTAATATCAAATGCGTGTGCACTGCTGTATAGATAGGCAAGTATCTTCAAAGAATACCAGTTAAGTTGTGAAATTCTTATGAAAAACACTATTTTACCTCAAGTCTCAATAGTTAATGGCCATACCTCGTACAGTTTTAATGTATTGACCGTATCACACTCTGGAAACAACTAAAATAAGAGCGCCACATTTTTAGTTAAGGAGAGTTATAAAATTGACAATGAGAACAAAATTGTTCAAATGCAACTAGGAAACTCAAATTTGTTTGTTTTAAAGATTTTAACTTTTATTATCCTGTCTAAAATGCAGCTGGGACCATTATAATATACGCTGTCTTTATAATACAGTTCCAGCAGCACCGGAATTAAGGTTACCCGGATTGGCAATTGACCGGGTGGTAATTGAGTGGACCATTAAAGAAGGACCTGTAAATCTAATACAGGTATGTATTTGTATATATAACCCCTTTATACGCATATCTGAAATGCTCATACTTGTGTGTTAAGATGGGTATCAGGAATGCCAGGTCTACATACTTTGGAGCATTACAATAAACACTCGAGTGTGCTTCGTTGATCAATTGCAAAATTAACCATGTTAAACTGCCTTGAGGAGAGAGTATGGGTAGAGCGAAAAAAAAACAGCTTAAACAATATTTAAAAATATATTCAAGGACAGAACGTGGACAGCACATCTTTCGAAATATGTAATGTTCGTGTTTCGTCCTTCTATGTTTATTCTTTCTTTAGTTATTAAGTATATTAAATATATAGACAAAACCAAATAATAATATCAATATTTGTTTGGACTGGATATTTGAAGGTATTAAAAATGGAAAAATACGTTTCACGTATTGTACTTACGCATATTAGTTATAACAAATTTCGTGGACGTTAATTCGATTAAATGAGAGTGTAAAGGTGCGATTGGGTGCTTTTTTATAAATAGTAATTTGTATTTACATATGTGCTTCCAGGTTTCTAAGAATAATAAAAAGTGGTTAAACTGCACTTCATACAACGAAACCTGTACGAGTGCCAGGACGTTTCAAGGTCAATCTACATTGAACAGTGGAATAATCACATTCAAGCACCTTCAGCCCGCATCTAACCATTGGGTGTCGGTGAGGGGCTGCAACGATTACGGATGCGGTCATCCGAGCGAAATTGAAGCCCCAACAGATATAACTGGTTGGTATAATTTTTTTTTAAATATTGTTATAACTTGTACCACGTTGGTTAATCGCGTTCGGTTGTTTTACCCGCGTGGGTCCTTAGACTTAAAACACTCTTAAAATGTACGACTCCAAACAATATGGATATCTTTGCAATAACGTTATCGACTACCGGAGTGGACGCAACAAGACGTGCATGACCAAATTGTATAGCATGTGTTACCCAACATTACCGTATATTGCAAATATTCATCTTGTCACGAATATTATAATCTTGAGCTGCAGATCCTAAAATAACCCATCGCGCCCGTTATACAAAAAAGAAATGTTATCCGTACTGTTCGTTAATATACGCAGGCTGTGTAGAGCCTGCCATTTTAAAACGAGGTTAATGTAGGTCACCGAATATATCGGTGACCCTCCAAACAGTATGTACCACCAACTAGCCGAACTACATGCCTTGCTGAATATATCGCAGTTCAGAAAATGCCAAAATGTGAAGCACCTCTGGTGCCATTATGTTTATGAGAATTATCGCGTCGATCTCAAATCGTCTCGCATTCATTCGTCACTGGCATATTTTACGGGCCATGAGGCTTCTATGGGGCACGACTATTGTTAATATTTTACCTTGGGCGCTTCTGGCACCATAAATATATTTCAAGATAGCGTCAAGAACAATTATTTTAGAGTGACTTAACCACTAATATAACCAGTCTTAATTCGGGCTACCAAACTGTGATCGGATTGAACGTGCTAGAATAATTAAGCACGCTTATTGACCAATATTAGGTTTCTTGTCTGCGAATCACTAAGTTTCGCTCGCGCTCTGATGAGACACATAAAAGTTATTTTGAAGGACTCGTATAAAAAAAATGTAGCTAACAAAATGCGCAAACAGTTAGCCTTGAGGGTTCAATTTTTTTGTTTTTAGTTTAACCATTAACAAGAAATCATTCCTTTCCCACTCCAGCGTGCCAAATGCAGGGGTAACAGAATGTGACATTTAGGCCGGAAAAGCTTGCCGCCCATGTGAAGCTATGATGGCGTGAACATCGCATTGAAAAATGTATTAGTTTATCATCAGGAGCCCGTTGTCAAAGGGTGTGCACCACCTGAGTGCTGCGAGGCCGTGGCGCTCCTTCTTTTCTACACTGGGGCGGGGACAACGTATCAGATCATAAAGTGGAGTACGAACAGCAGTATCACTACATATCCTCCAAGCCATCTGAAAGTGCTTGCTGGACGAGTATTTACTCTGACTGTAAACTCAGGCAGGGATTTGGAGTCGCTCTCGCCGCGAACTGCATGTTACTACAGTCTCCGAGCATCCAGCGATTTCCTCATCGCCACAGCTGGCGTTGCGGTCTTCTCTCGCGCACGATCAGCCCGCCAGCACTCCTGTGCGTGCACGTGTCGCGGCAGTAACCCGGATCGACTGGAGCACGACGCGCGGCTGCCACTTCTGTTCAATTAGTGAGGAGAAAAGCGCTGCGTCAGCATTCGGCAACCACTCGTGGTTTCTCGATCTGTGTGTGGAACGAGAACCGGAAACGTTAAGAGGTAAGCCACAGAACACAATCGTGTTAAAAGAAATGCTTATGTTTTAATACAATTGCGGGTGATCGTCGTTTTAAAATAAATGCAAGTACGTTCCTTCCAAAGAGTGGAGACGGTGCCATCGAAAGTGAGTGCGTTCAGTACATACTACGGCGCGCTAGAGGTGCTAGCTCTGTTCACTAAACAAACAGAAGCGCCAACGTATAGACTGGTACTCAAGAGCGCTCTTCGCGCACCAAGTTTTCCTTTGAGCACGAATGACTTCTTCCAGCTCCATTACGTAACTTGGAAAACAAGTTGGCTGCGCGGACAGAAAAGTTATCGAGGCAAGGAGGCACGCTGCCCTTTTCACGCAAGAGACAGCTCAGGCGAGCCAGAAAAGATTCAAAAAGAAAGATGAAACATCAAAGAGTGTCCAGAAAAGGTTCGTTTGTACATCTCGCCTCAAAACTGATTTGCGTGTAATCTCCTGAACGGTGGTGGGCCCTTGCACACCTGAAGTTCTTCCTCTTGCTCTGAAAGAACTGATAATGGAACACCCCTGACAAGTTTGACAGTTTCATCAGTTGAGAAACGAGCCCAAAAATGGTGTCCTTTAAAATCTTGGTGGCTGAGATTTTCTGAAGCAGTAAATAGACTGCTGTCTGCAGCTTTCTCGATCACTAAACTTTTCGTCTCGGCGCTTGATGGGTTTCTAAACATTTCGGAGAATTAAAACATTCCACGACAGTTCATATTGTCACAAATGTATACTTATTTACACTCTGCCGGTCCACGCAGCACTTAAAATAGCATTAGAATAGTCGCTGAAGTTTTTTTTTTTTTTTTGTGGCATAGACTAGGTGCATGTGCCATTAACATATAACAATTGCTCATTATACAATCGTGCAGGGCGATTTTAATAATTGAAAACACAACTAAACATTGCGACATTCCCCGTGTTTAAATATAACAAAATAAAAAAAAAAGGTGTGTCGGGATGACCAGTCGCGATTTTATAATAGGAAATATCCCACATGACTGTAATTTGGTATTTCTTAAGACGTTTAGGGCACATAGATTGAGTTTTCATGATAAATGTAGGCCGTCAAAATTTACGTTACCGCATCTTTAACTAATTTATATTTGGAGTTATTTTTGCTTCTTCCGGTAGTATGTTCGACATCCTGGCCGTTTTCCAAAATTTACCGAAGTTCACTCCATTACGAGTTTCTACCTTGGCGACCGAACACCCACTCCCTAACTAACGTACAGCGTCACCCCGGCACTCTGGCTTTGCTAATACCACCTATGACGCAGCCCAGATGATTAACTTTTACCTAGTCAAGTAAGGTTTTGAAAGCAGCTCATATGTTTGTATCCTGTCCGTGCGGTCGGCAGTGGTTGCACGACTTGTCGATAGTTTCGATGGGGCGCGTTTTTGTACGCTATGCTTTGTTTTGTTGTAGCACTCAGATAATGAACCTCGGAGCGTCGGAGTAGGAGTGATGTCTCGTTCACACTGGAAGCGGAGGCATAACCACAAGGTGGATCCACGTTTTTTGAGCCGCGAAGCAACTGGGACAGAGCAATGGGGACGCGTTTTTCCCAACCGTTCGGAGACCGATTCGAGCCAACCGCTTTTGGGAAGCGGGAAGCGGAAAAAAATTAAAACGCGACGCTGACTTGGTGTCGGTGGCTTTCGAAGAAATAAGGCATCCGTCGTTGATGTGCCGCCCTAGACGCTGCATGTCTAGCTTTGCACGAAACAACAAACGCAATGTTCACATCTGTCACTTGGATACGTCGCAAAGCCGAAACCCATTTCTTCTTTGCGTTGTTTGTAACCCATTTCTGCTTTGCGTTGCCCGTAGAACACGGAAGGCCACTTATGATCCCCTGAATTAGCAGCTTTTGTACTCACTTCGGCAGTGATATAAACTGCTGAAATGTATCTACCCAGTTCATAATCGCCTGGAAGGATATAAACATCGTGGGTGTAATTGACTAGCCAACACGCAACCATAGAGCTAGGGCTGCAGCCAGAATTGCTGCGTTAGCCGGACCCATGACGTTTCTACCACCAAATTGAATGAAGGTCGTCCATTCAAGAAATATATTGTATGTACCACATGAAACATGGGCAATCCACACCTCGTTTATGTGAACCAAATGCCAAACGTTTACCACACCTGATTAACCTATGAATGGAGACAAGTCCGCCACCAACCAGACCACGACAGTCTAGCACCGAACACATTCCCAAGTTCCACCAATTCCGCTCACTACTCCGAATTGGAAAAGCGAAGGAAGAGGGGGAAAACTGGCCCTCTTATCCAGAAGACGGGTTTAATTCTTCATAGGGGAAGTTTCCGATTGAGAAGAGGGTGGGGGACATATTTCCTTATTTGAGGAGGAGGCTACGATTCAGCAGGGCGCGCCTTGACGGGCTATGCTTGCGGGCGACCTCGGGGGAAATCGGCCGCGTGGTATCGCGGCTCTGTGTCTTTTCTCCCGCTGCCTGAACTCAGGACGCAAGCGAGCAGCACGAAGAACATCGTTCTGTGGAGAAGTAGCTAAATATTACTTTGGATAGAAGACTCACTTGGATTTTGAATCGCAAACAAGGTTGCTAAAAGCAAGTCCTGAAATATAACGCGTAATCGCCGAGAAACCGCCAAACACGTCTTGGTGTGTCTGTACAGTGCCACTCGCGAGCCGCGTCCTCAACCACTCCTCAAAAGCAGGGCAACCGCCAGCAAGAATTCGCCGTAAGGGTGCACGGACTCAACACACCCAAAGATTGCCGGAGAAAGTCCAGAGTGCATCGATGCTCAGCAACATTTTGTTCCTAATATTCTACCCTCACTGAAATCGTAGGCTTGCAATTTTACCATCGCACCCTTAACTACTGGAAATCCTAAGCTTGTAAGTTTTCAACTGAACACTTCATTATTCAGCTGATTCGTCGCTCAAGACTATTGACTTAGTGTAGTGGACTTTAATCTGTAGACGTAGACAACTATTAGTAGCTTAGAAACGACCATTAGCACGTTTTCCGGACTGTAGATATTGCTACCTAGGCGCGAAACCGCATAAAAAAAAATAGGAAAACTGTGTAGGTAGCTGAGGTAGCGCGAGTTCGACTCTCTCTTGTTAGCGTAAACTACCGTTCTTGAATTTGTTAGACACTTGTGACTTACAATGAATGATTTATACGCTCTCGTGGTTTCGCAATGATATGCTCGTTTTAACATTTGTTTTGTTCCTGTTGTAAGTGTGCTTTCGGTACGTTAATTACCTCAATTTATTTGTTCTCTCTTTTATATGTTATCTAGATGCTCGGACATTCCCTTGAGGTAATTCATAGCGGGACCCGCTTCAAAGAGTGTTTACTATAACATCGTTGGAGCATTCGTCTTATATAAACTACACATGTGCACCGCTCGTACTGTAGATTTACATTTATATTCCAAGGTAAATCATGTGCCATATTTCAAGCATGCATTTTTTTTTCGAGGGGAGCTCTTAGGCGCCCATTTCCGGCTTAAGCAGCGTCGCCATCGCCGTCGGCGTAACCGCGGGGTGTATTATGGGACGTTTCACATGATGACGTCACACGTGACGTCACGTGTGACGTCACGAGGCCTACTAGTGACGTCACTCGTGGTGTCACAGCCGCGTTGCATTATAGGTAAATTTCGCCGCTAAATTTAGCGGAAAAAATTCCCCGCTAAATGCAGCGCAAAATTTTTCCTGCTAAATTTAGCGGGAAAACTTCTCCGATAAATTTAGCGCAAAATTTCCCCGCTAAATTTGGCGGAAAATTTTCCCGCTAAATTTAGCCGGACATTTTCCCCTAATGGGAGGCGAGCAGGAGAGGAGGAGGGGAGGGTACGGATTAGGAGGAGGGGCATAACCTCCTCTCCGTGCCTTCCGCTCCTCCTCCTCAAGAGCTGCGCTCTAGTTCGGCGTTACAGGGAATCGTAAACGTCTCATTTTGTCAACGCTACCCCCAATCGCAAATTTTTTCCGCCCATCCGTCCGTTCGATTTCCGCTAAATTTAGCGGGAAAAGTGGCGTCACGTGACATATACACCTTGGGGAAATGGGCGGCACGTCAACTATAGCTCAACTCAGTTTTCCTGCGAAATTAGCGAGAAAATTCCCGTCTTGTGGCCTAGACACCAATCCAGTTTTCCCGTCAAACTTATGGGGGAAACTCGACCTCACGTTACTTCACTTCACGTGACCTAGGCAACCATTCAGCTTCCCTACTGAGTTTAGCGGGAAAATATGCATCACGTGTCACACCACTTCCCTTACTCCACCCTTCTCATCCCTTCCCTCTCCTCCACTTGGACCTCCTAGCAACACAGCCTAGATAGCCCAAAGTAATGTTGCTTCCAGGGAGTTCCATAGCATTCATTTCATAGCATTTTAAAGATAAAGATGTCTACCAATTTTATTTTTTTAGGTTTAAGCAAGCCAACCGACCTCCGGATAACCCCTTTGACGAAAGGAACGGCACTGGTGGAGTGGAAGTCACCCGAGGAGCCCGCAATTCCGAGAATGGGCTACGAAGTTACGTGGCTTTGTCAACCAGGCGATCCGAGGAGCATTGTTGTGTCGGATTCCAGGGCCACCATCATAGGTATTACGGCTTAAAGTCGCCGCTCAATCGTGCTGATGACTGGATTTGGGAAGCATGCATATCAATCGTTTGTAGGGACCCGAATGTTGCTTTATTTACAATTTTTATTCAAATTAGCACAGCGTTGTGAGCCAGTTTAAACAAGCGTTTTTGAAGTGAAGATACAGAAAGAATAAAGCGACGCCGAGAACCGGAAACTGCTCGTGCTAAAATTTGATATGTATTGTCACGAATGACAACTGATGAGACGACGAAAACTGCAACAAACTGAACTTTTAATGAGGCAAAGTTGTGCCCGAAACATAACAGAGGTTGGCCAGCGTCGCAAGCGTCGATGGCGGTGTGACAGCAGGCCATCAAGCGCTGGGGTGAGACTGACTCTGGCTTGCCACGGGAGTCACTTATGCACTCGCGGGGGCTTCTGGGATATTCGGCATAGAACATCTGGCCCGTAGAACATTCGTGCCTCGATCAGACGAAAATGTTCTCGACCTTACGAGAACGCTAAAGTGAAAGAATAAACGAAAGACGCGCCGCTCGCAGGAATCTAACCCGGGAGCCTTCTCACGAAGGCCGAGCACGGTAACCGCTCGGCCACGCGCGCGCTCGCTCGGCGACGCGCATGTATGGAGCTGCTTCTTGACCTACCATTTTTAGAGCGCAGCTGTTAGGCACCCGTTTCCGGCTTGAGCGGCGTCGGCGTCGGCGTAACCGCGCGGTGCATGATGGGTAAATTTTCCCGCTAAATTTAGCGGAAAATTTCCCCGCTAAATTTAGCGTAAAACTTTTTTCGCTAAATTTAGCGAATAAATGTTCCCGAAATCTAGCAGAAAATTTTCCCCACTAAATTTAGCGGAAACATTTCCCCACTAAATCTAGCGGAAAACTTTCCCCGCTAAATCTAGCGGAAAACTTTCTCCGCTAAATTTAGCAGAAAAAATTCTCCACTAAATTTGGTGGAAAATTTTCCCCTCTATATCTAGCGGAACATTTTCCCCGCTAAATTTAGCGAAACACTTTTCCTGCTAAATTCAGCGGAAAATTTTCCCCTAAAAGGGGGCGAGCAGGAAGGGAGCTGGGTCATAGCCCCCTCTCCCTAGCTGCCTTCCAATCCTCCTCCTCAAGAGCCGCGCTCTAATTCGGCCTTACAGGGAGTTGTAAACGGCTTTCATTTTTACAGTAGCATAATATTCAGAAGTGCTCATCTGCATAAAGTATACTGCAAAGTTCAGTTGTGGTGGAGCCAGGAGCAATTAAGAAAACTGCGGTCATTGAAAGCTTCAGACACACAGGCAGTGGACACTCGCAATGAGCTTATTATCGCTTCGCAACTAACAAAAAAGCGGTACCAACCGATAGAAACGCAGAATAATGGATAAAGAAGCATGTACTATGAACAGACCAAGACACCCTGCGATTTTACACCTGTCAGTGACTCGACAAACTTGCATTTCAGCGATGTAATTTAGGTCGATTTCATTTCAAATCGTGCAGAAAAAAAGGTCACATCTCGAAAACGTCTGAAAAAAAAATGTGTATATGATGAAACTTTTCCACTAGAAGGAAACTGAAAACCGTTCTAGCGTCAGATTTTTCGTTTTTGAGTTATGGCTTCTAAGGGACCAAAGACCGAACAGGTCGCATATATAGGAGCTTGTTCAAACTCAAACACATTCCGCTCAACAATAAAAACGTTTTGCGTGACTTTTTAATTTACATTAAAATCGGAAGACGTTCTTAAAAGGTGTTTTTTTTGTTTCATTTAATATTGCAAAAACAAATTGCGATCTCACCCATTTTTCAATAATTTTCCAGGTTTGTATAACGATAACTTTTGAAACAATCAATTATATGTAAAAAATGCCTGTGCAAAAACATAATATGACTATTATTTAATGACATTAGCTTGGCCAAACACACTCTTAAATAAGAACGAAAACTAAAATTTCAAAGTTCAACAGACATTTTCTCAAAATTGTCATTTTAAATATTTTCGTTTTTTCCATTTGAGGTGTCCTCACCATGGTATAAAACACAAACATAAATCAGTTGTAATGTTTGGTTTGGACAAATAGATCCGTGCATTTAAATATTCCGAATTATTTAGATTATATTTTATGATGCAAACCTTCGTCGTTATTTGAATACCGATCACTTAATTCATTCTTGACACCTTGTTAGTGTATTTGTGGGCTTCGATTTAACACGCAATTAAAAAATAAGGTTGGCCTGTAGACAGATATTTTGTTTAGTATATCAACCTTTTCCTATGCATGTCTAATTTATTAAATAAAATATGAAATCACAATTAAATCAAACATTTCATTTTAGTCATGATGATTAAAATCCTATCAAAAATTTGCACCAAACGTTTCATGTGGAAAATTAGAGTAATCGGGTGAAACAAAATATTTTCAATGTGCTGACATCCTTAGCACAAAATTTCAGGTTTTCCCAGCTGCAGCTTTTCCACGCACATAAACATTTGTAAGAAGGTAGGCTTGTTTAAAACTACCGATGTTCATTGTCTTTTTTTTTGTGAAAGATTATGCCTGCATATATACCATAAGGAAATACACAAAATTACATAACATATATGGCAAAGCAAGTTTGCAGATGTGATCGAAAAGCACCTTTAACGCCGCACAACATTGCATTCAATTGTTAGCAATTTTTTTAGGTTAGCATTTAGAAACCTGTCTTTATATTTTTCATTCATAAGTAATGCAACCGAATGTTTTCTTTAAAACCTACAGCATTCCATTTTTTCATTGGCGTCAATCTAGTGGACCTTACGTAATGTTCAGTCATTAGGGAAGTGCGAAGTGGGCGTTGCGGCATGCGAACACACCTCAAGTATCAAACCTCATTTCACAACCGCTTATTGACAGAACTTAATACAACTGAACGTGCTGATGACTTCGTCCCGATTGTCATCACTGTAACTCAAAATTATTTTCCCAAAAATGTAGGCAGCATATTTGGCCCACTGCTGGGATGCACAAAAAGAGCAGACCTGTCACCGTCATTTGGTGCGTGACTTGTAGATGAAAATTCAAATAAGGATTGTCTTTCAACTGTATGTTAACACGACTTGCTAAGCCTTGACAGGAAACCTTTAACTAATGTTAATGCCGCTTTGTGGTCACATTAAACTTTCTTATCAATTACATTTTTAGATAATTTATATATTTATATCTGCAGAGGTCTTGTAATTGAAGCTACCTAACTAACAATATGCTATCGTAATCAGCAGCCTTATACGCTCTCGTGTATGCTATCTAGTATCGCTGGATTGAGAGTGACTGTTTTGAAATTTTTAATTGAAAATTATGCCAAAACCAATATTTAGATATACCCGCGCTTTACCATGCCTTGACGTCAAGGGAGGGCATATTTGTAGGTTCAGCGGGCTGTCTAAATGTGAACTATTCCGAGCAGTTGTTTCGTGCTGCTGCGCGGGTTCTGAAGCGCACATCATAAGTATTCATTTGGCACCATGAGTCTGGTTTTATTCACTTGGGAACAGACTCTCCACTCCAAAGAGTGAACCCCTGCCTTCCGTTGATGTAATGTTTTTATTGTATGCAGTAGAGACTTTCACGTTGAAAAACACGATGAGGACCAAAATTGTAAATTCAATAACCTTTCGAAAAAAAATTTTGGCCCATTATTGGGTTACTATTAAGAGTTGTTTGTTGTTCTGGTTAGCAATTTTTTAGCCGAATTAGGGACTACGGAAAAAAAACGCTTTTGCAGCCCTTTAACGTCGCCACTCAGTTACACAAATGTACATCTACGCCGTCTACTCAAAGTTAAATTGGACACTGCAGCAACTGAAATGCCTTCACGATGCCAGGTTATGGTCGCTGATTAAAATGACACCACATAGTTGTACCCTATGGTGTCGGCATAGCACAAAATATGACCACATCGGTTCGTCTCATAACGAAGTTAACTTTGAGGAAAATTGTACTTCACCACGGGCCATCCGAACTTTTCGTTTTTTAAAGAAGAAACAAAGATAGAAAATATGAACCGAACCCATCTTTTTATTAGGCTTTGCCTGCGTGGCGAAGCGGCAATTAGACAAGAGACGAAATTCGCGCGAGCCCTCTCGGCCTATGCGTAATAATATTTTTGTCCCTAGTGTAACAGTGTCCCCGATAATACTTTCTGATGAAAATATTTATATCTGGACGTGCCTAACTCAATTTATGAAAACGATTTTTTTACTTGCGATTTGTTATAAGTTTTAAAGTAAACAAGCTGGACGTGCGTATGAAAACCCTCATATATTATACTTAACATGATTAAATATTGGTTAAAGTTTAGTCAGCCACCACCATGTGTGAGTGCCAACAAATAACCAACAATCTGGCAGAAACCCATGGTTAAGACCTAGCATTGTATCTTAATCTAGATCTACAAATATACTGTCCTTGCTAATTTACGGGTTTATGATTCCAAACTGTAAGTTACATCTGAATTTTACTGTACATTTTACACCAATGCGAGGACTCTTTATACGAGAAAACTATACTATATATAAGAAAGTCTATTTTAAGAAAATTAATGTTAAAAATCTCAACGTTTAAAGTTTCCTTCTTTGTCAAAATACGTTTCCGGGAAAGATAACATTTTGTCTCTAAGGTATTGTACTTCTGAGTAGTATTTGTTTAAGGTTTCAATGTATGATAAGTAATTTACGAACTTTATTGTTACAAAAGTTTTCATCGTCTAAACCCGATAAATTATCTTCAAAGAAGATTATGATAAAAATAAATAAAAACGATGAGAAATCTGTATGACGGTGTTCCGCATTCAGTAGACTTTTAAAAGCGATGTTAAAGGGTTTTCTCTTTGTGCTGAGGAAGGCATCTGAGTATAGCGCAGCTTCCAAATACGCGACCTATGACGATTGCCTAAGTCTCTAATATTTGTCTTTGGTCCTTTAGCAGCAAAAAAAAAAAAAAAAAAAGCTCGATAACGAAAAATATGACACAGGAACGGTTTTAGTTTTTTCCTGGGAAAGAATTTTCCCACCATATGCTTTTGTTGTTTTTTCAAGCATGTGTTCTAAGATTTGGTGTTTTTCAGTACGATTTAAAATGAAACCTCTCTTTTAATATCACAAATTGGTGTTAAAAAACATATCCCCTCCGAAGAGCCCATATGCACAGGATTCTTACATGCACCCAGAACGAAATGCGGACACACACGCACACACATATATATACATATATATATACGGTAAGAAGGTTCAACGGGCCGGTTGGACGTAAAACGAAAGTGGAGGAGATCCAGGAAAGGCCTTTGTTTACTGCACCGACGTTTCAAGCGGGGACCGCTTTTCTTCAGGGTGAATGGTTGTGAAATGTCCTCTTGGACATTTCACAACCATTCACCCTGAAGAAAAGCGGTCCCCGCTTGAAACGTCGGTGCAGTAAAGAAAGGCCTTTCCTGGATCTCCTCCACTTTCGTTTTACATATATATATATATATATATATATATGACATCTTGGGGCTAAGTAAATCAAATTAGCCTTTGACGATAGCAAGTAGTACTTTGTTTTTGTGGTTTTCATGTTCTTCACCGAAAGACCTTTCTGAAAAGTCCGCGCCAACACCTGTCCCCCACTCCTTGCTCACACTCTCTGAGTTTGCATTGGACACGAAGCCCGCGTCGGCGTTCGGCGAGGAATCGGACACAATCACGCGCTTTGTGGGCAAGCAATGATGACAGCCAATGCTGCTTGCTAGACTTTTGATAAACGTTGTTTAAATACATAAACATTAAATGGCGGCGCTTGTCGCGATCTTTGCTGGCAGTGCTCAAAAAATAACAGAAGATGCTCAGAGTCAATAGTAGGTGACATTTGTACCTTATTGAGAGTGTAACAAACTGTCTCTCATTAACTTCCGAAAGCAATCATGAAAGATCAATGAGCTTTGTTCTACGTCGTACCAAAACGGCACCCTGATTTGTGACATTTGTCTGCCGACTGATCGCTAGGCCATTTATCGCATATAGGCGTTAGTCTCGTACGCTCTCAGAAATGACTTTATGCACACGCAGCGTCAATTTGCTCAAAGTAACATATTTCATTCTTTATTTAATTAGGTTATTTAGTGACAAGCGCGTTGGCAAAAGCGCTTCAAATAGGATGCAGTCTGGCTAGTAAGACGTTCCGAGTCGAGTTTTGCGGGTTTTTCCAACTTTTCATGTTAATCACATCATCCAAACCAGTCCCATGACCCGTATTCAACACTTCTACAATACCCTCAGGGGAGCAGATATTGATTTTTTTTAACCAAATTTCGTAGCTTTTAAGACTTTCGTAACTAACCTGTGAACATTTTGTTGTGCATCATTACCAAGGTGTCAAGCTGTTCATGAGCACAGAAAATAAACAAATGAAAATGAAATGAAATGAAGACGGCTTGCTGCTTCTCCATAATTTAGATTGTTTCGCCATTATATTCTGCGATATCTCCTTTCTATTTCCTATTACTATAGTTATTGACCAGAAATGAATTTTTTTTTTATCTGAGTGCATGACAAGAAATAATAAATTGATGTTTAGGAATTGGATGGCATAGCATGCAGTTTCGTGCGTTTCCGTTAATATTGGCAAAACGCGGCTTGGTTTATGTGGCTCAACTTCTTGATGTAATTATTCAAATCGGTCGGCGAATATCTATATTTCTTCTTCTTTTTTTTTGCCTTTAGGCCTACATAATTGGTACTTCACAAACGTAAGGGGATTGCTATTTCTGTTCGCAGTAGAGTTTGGTTTGCTTACCAGTGGAAACTTAAAAAGCCGAATCTTTTCTTTTGCAGATTTGCCAACAGAAGCCTCATGCAAAGTCTGGGTGGCGTCGTACAACCTACGGCCTTCGGGTTATATACTGCGAAGCCTCAAAGTGGAGGTATCGTTGCGACACAGCTTTCGTGACACAAGCAACGAGATTCAAGGACCCCAAGACTAGAAAATAAATTGACCTCAGCTACTCACCCATGTCGCAATTACGTAATAAGTGCACTGGTAACGAGCCGTATTCCCCCCTTGAGATGTTGCTTTAAAGCTTCGCAAACGTTTTTTTTTCTATGGGGGGAGGGGGGGGGGGGAGATTGGGCTATATTGATTTGGGCGTGCTGTTTTTTCCTCGTTTAATTTCTTTTTGCCATATCAGCCCTGCATAGTCTAGTTTGGAACGTCAGACATTCTTTATAGTTCGTGCACAGTCAGCTTTGGGATGAACTGAGTTTACAACTGTATATCTGTAAAGCGATGTAGAAGCTCGCTGTTACTCAAAATGTCTTTCTAACTTTTATCGTTCGCACTTTAAAAACAAGCTTTCTCAGTCTGAACTCATACATCATTGACGGCTTAAGCGAATTAGGGAGTCGTGAGCCTGAAGAATCCTAATGTGGTTTCATGGTAAGAGATTCAGGCATTAGTCAATGAATGAGATCAACAAAGAGCGGGCCACGATGATGCGCGAGCATGATAAGCTTTGCCCTGCGCTCCATAACCTGTCACCAATTATAGTCTTCCGCAGCCGGGAATTTTTCGTATTTAGACATGACACGGCATTCTAATAATAATCATAAATACCCGTTTGAGTTTTTGCAGGCAGGCACTACACCAGCGGCGTACACAGGATTGCCTCTCGAAAGGGGGGGGGGGGTGATTGGCCCTGCCCCCCCTGCCCTCTTAAGACAAACATTATATATATATATATATGGGTGGTTTCATTTCAAATCGTGCAGGCCAAAAGGGTGGAATTTTTAATTTCGATGAAAAAAATAGATGTTATGGCGCCGTTTCTAAAACCGCAGTCGCCACAAACCGCACGTTCGTCAGACTTTTTGTTCTCGACTTATGAATCTTTAAAGAGGCCGCGGCGAAAAGCAGTGTGTTTCACACCCGCCGTGGGCCGGATGTTTCGCTTGATCTCCCGCCGTGTATTTTCACTCCACATTATATTATCTTTTTTCAAGCACTCTGTGGACACATTTAAAAGGCTCCAATACCATAAAATAACTTTAGGCGTTTTGCTTTTTTTCTCTAAAAATGTCAAATACACCCCCTCGGTCAATTGTTGAGAACTTTGGCAATTAATTACTGGCGATCTACTTGGGTTACATCGATATTTTTTATGTCCACTGAGAGCTAAAAACACGCTATTATTATGTATTATAAAATAACTTGGCTGTATGAAATATCCTTTGTGGTACGTTTACGTTAATGTTATGTGAAAACCAAAAAAGTACCATTTTTGAAATTGATTTTCTGAAAAAACTCACTTTTATTTTTTGTATTCTTTGTTAAAATTTAATGTGATAGTTTTCTACACGAAAATCAAGTCGAGAAAGTGTGTATTTTGTTTGTATGCTCTATATTTAAACATCAATATCATTTAAAAACGTGTTTTTACTGCTCGAAATGGACTTGCGAATTGCGCGTCTTCACAAACTTGGACATATTTTTGCCTTTTCCAACCCTCCCGCATAACAATGAAATATAGTAGTTCCACCCTGTTATATTTATTGATTATTTAAATTTTATTATAGGCGGCAAGCTACATCGGAGGAGTTCAAAAGAGAAAGCAACACTTCTTAACAGACCAGCAGGTGTCGTAAATTTTTAACGTGTAGGAGTCGGCAGACGTCGTATTGATTCGGGGCCCTCATTGGCCTGCATGAACGTCCCGCCCTTTCGGAGCCAGCAGATGACCACGACCTTTCGCGGTCGTTGTGTTAGGACGGCCCGTGACAGTAAAGCGAGCGGCGCAATCTGTGTCACAAGGAGTGAAATAGTACGAATGTGTTGTTGACGCGGCGAACAGTGACAGCCACCCAGGAGGAGTCAGTCAGAGTGTTGCACAAGGGAAAGCAAAGGAATCGTTGCCTGAAATGATGAGGACACCACGGCCTTTCAATATCGACGGTCAACAACTTTCAATATCGACGGTCAACAACGCCGCGTGCGCGCTAAAACCGGCGGCGCGAGACACAAATCCCGCAGACGCACACGCGAAGATGGGCCGGTTTCGTTAGGGATGTGTGGAAATTTGAAACCAGCCATCCGTGCATGCGTGAAACGATACCACCTGTTTGCCCTAGCTTCGAGCGCCCTATCCTTAACTTAAAACGGCCGTGCTCTATCTCTCTCAGGAAGAAAACGTGAAGGGGCTGTTTAAGTTTAATTATCCCCACCAACCCGCTCGTTCTGTCATTATGAAGGGTTATTTCTTTTGGAAACAGCAATGCCCGGAGACTGACATTAAAACGAGCGTGTTGGTAAATATACTTGTGTTTGTATTCTGCCCGGAGACTAGTTGGGTCGAAGTCAGCCTCCTTGCCAACTATAACCATTTGTGAAGAGTGGGCGTCTCCCGAGATGAAAAACTTAGCGCCGGCTGACGTGTTCTTTTGAAAAAGGGAAGGGGAAAGAGAAAGTTTGAGTAACTGTTGAAACTACCTCAAAAGCTCCTCTTCCGATATGAAGCTTGAGGCATAGTCTCGGTTACCTTCTCGCGCATTGCTGCTCGACTCTATTCTTCACTTTGTTTCGCACAGCTACTGTTCCGCACAGCCGGCGTGGATGTGCGTAATAGAGGGAGGAACAGATTCGAGCATCATCTGGACGCCGTCATCCTGCCAGACTTCGGTGTCGTGGGACCGACTCGTGTGTCTTTCTTCGCCCCGCTGAACTTTGTTTCTCGGGTGCGATTTTTTCTGAACATTTTTTTTTTGCAATGTTTTCTTACTAACTGCTTGTTAGCACTCTTCAGTTGTTGGGTTTATTTCGTCATGGCGTAGCGGCCTGGCGGCCTGGCGGTTCGCACGCATTTGGTTGCGTCCCGTTTAGGGAATCCCCGAAGGAGTTGGTTTTTGTTCTTGCCATGTGCGGCTGAGTTTTCCCGTCTTTATTAAATTATTGCTTTTTTTTGTTTTACCTTTACGTGTCGTCGACTTCTTTGTCTGACTCTCCACCAGGCGTGGCCCTATCGCCTTGCCACCGCTCGAACCTAGATACTTTTTTTTTTTTGACGCAATTTTCGTTAAGATCGGAGTTGGGCAATTTAATTCCTATTTATTTATTTTTATTTCCTACCCCTCTCCGTGACACACTTTTTGCGTATTTCAAACCGTTTCTGTGTCATCACTTCTGTGTATTACGGAAGTGAAAGGGCATTCCCTTGTGACCTGTGCGATGTGCGGTGAACCAACCCCAGAGTTTGGTTTCGGAAAGAATTGTATATAATGTATCGACGATGTAATGACTTTCATTGTCTTACTAGTATGACAGCTAATAGCTGGTCGGGCTAGTTTACTGTGAACGGTTTATAAATCGAAACAATACAACCTCTGTGCCTTTTGGTTATTGAAAGTCTACTAGGCCTGCTGATTTGGTTAGAGATATGTATCTCGTGGTTCCCGATCTCATCAAAGCATAAATAAATATTCAGTACCACAAAATCCGTTTATAATTGATTACAAAATGCAGAAGAAAATTCAAGAAAACTTTTACAAATCATAGAGACGCATGGGTCGCTATGTCTGACTTAGGTCTTGCAAAACAAAGACGTCTTTTTCCAATATTGAGGCCTAAATATAAAACATACAAACAAAATACACACTTTCTCGGATTGATTTCCGTGTAGACAACTATCATATCTACATTTGAACAAAAATAAAAAAAATAAAAAAATGGGTTTTTTGAGAAAATCAATTTCAAAAATGGTACTTTTCGGTTTTCGCATAATATTAACGTAAACGTACCGCAAAGGATATTTTATACAGCAGAGACATTTTAAAATTCGTAAAAAGCGAGCGTGTTTTGGGCTCTCCGTGGACACAAAAAATATCAATGTAACCCAAGTAGATCACCAGTAATTAACTGTCAAAGTTCGTCAACAACTGACCGAGGGGGCGTTTTTGACATTTTTACAGAAAAGAAGCAAAACGACTAAAATTATTTTATGGTATTGGAGCTTTTTAAATGTTTCCACAGAGTGCTTGAAAAAAGATAATATAATGTGGACTGCAAATCAACGACGGGAGATCAAGCGAAACATCCGACCCACGACGGGTGTTAAAAACACCGCTTTTCGCCGCGGCCTCTTTAAAAATTCATAAGCCGAGAACAAAAAAATGAAAGCCGTTTACAATTCCCTGTAACGCCGGTTAGAGCGCAGCTCTTGAGGAGGAAGATGGAAGCGTACTGAGGGATAGGTGACTCCTTGAGGTCACGTGACCTCAAGGGGGTCACGTGACCTCATGGGGTCACGTGACCTTTGGGGGTCACGTGACCTCCGGGGTCACGTGACCTGAAGGGTCACATGACCTTAGGGGGTCACGTGATCCCCAGAAGTCACGTGACTTCAGGGGGTCACGTGACCTTAGGGGTCACGTGACCTAGGGGTGTCACGTGACCTGGGTGGGTCACGTGACCTCATGGGGTCACGTGACCTCAGGGGCTCACGCGACCTTTGGGGGTCACGTGACCTCGGGGGTCACGTGACCTGAAGGGTCATATGACCTTGGGGGTCACGTGATCCCCAGAAGTCACGTGACTTCAGGGGGTCACGTGACCTTAGGGGGTCACGTGCTCAAGGCGGTCACGTGACTTCTAGGGGTCACGTGACCTAAGGGGGTCACGTGACCTCAAGGGGGTCACGTGACCTCTGGGGGTCACGTGACCTAAGGGGGTCACGTGACCTGGGTGGGTCACGTGACCTCGGGGGGAGGGGGGGTCACGTGACCTGGGTGGGTCACGTGACCTCGGGGGGGGGGGTCACGTGACCTCGCGGTTACGCCGACGCCGACGCCGACGCCGACGGCGACGGCGACGCCAACGGCGACGCCGACGCCGCTCAAGCCGGAAACGGGCCCATAAGAGCTGCGCTCTAAAAAGTCTGACGAACGTGCGGTTTGTGGCGACTGCGGTTTTAGAAACGGCGCCATAACATATATTTCTTTCATCGAAATTAAAAATTCGACCCTTTTTGCCTGCACGATTTGAGGCGAAACCACCCATATATATATATATATATATATATATATATATATATATACAAAAATGTTCCTACCTAATGTCTTGTGTTTCTATGCTGCTCATTGTTCAAGATTATTTCCTGCTGCGCTCCCGATGCCTCCCGAGATTTCGATTGGTTTTTCCTTCTCAGCAGTCACTTTTTCGAGATCCATCCAGCGGTGTCCTTTTCGTTCTTATTTCATGGCCGAAGCTTCCAATGTATTCCGATTGTACGTATCTTAAAATGGTGCAAACACGCAGGCACAAGACTGTATAACTTCCGTATGGAAATATTCGAGCAGTTGGCACACTTCAGTGACGGTTCCCTGCGGAAGCTTTAGTGACATCATCACATCTTTTGACGGCGGAATTCGGCAGGAGGGAAATTTCGGAGGTACAAGAGTGGCATCGACACTTCGCAAGCTAACGCCTTAATCCTGCTCATGCAGTATGAAGAAAGCCGGACTGTGCCTTCTTGCCTGTAAAACTAGACGCCACGACCAAAAGCGCCACGCATGCGGTTGACTACAAAGGACAACTGGTTATTTTAAGCGGCGCTACGCGTGTATGCTTCGCTTGTTTTGATTTTAGCTGGCGCCCTACTACCTTTAATAATTGAAACTCAAACTGAAACTCTTTCTTTCTCTCCAGTTTGGAGAGGGAAGGCAAAAAAAAACAAAAAAACACTTAAGGTCAGTCCATTTCTAGTCTATGGTTATATGAGCGAAAGCAAAGGGGCAGAGTGCCAAAAGACAGACGCTTGGCTTTCTGCTGGTACCGGCAGCACGAACACACACGCAACCAACAAAATCAGCAGAACTCTATAACTGCCCCGCGCAAAAATGAGCTGGCGCCGGTTGCCAACAATGGTTTCAAAACTAAGGCCGAAACGCGACTCCGCTTCAAATATGAAACAGCGAGGCGCGGCGAATAAACTTGACCGCGGCGATGCAGTGGCTCTAGTCAATGTTTCCTACAAAGCTGTGAAAGGTCAAAATTAAAATAATAATAACAATAGCAATAATAAAAAGAAATAAGGAAGCAAGAGAGGCCCGTGCACTGAACACTGAACTCGAATGAACCATTGACCTAACTTCACGACGGCGGTGCAAACTTTTCAAAGAAAAAACAAAAATGGAGGATTAGAGGAGGGGGTTGCTTTCGAAAAGAGTTTCAACTGGTGGGAATTGTTTCTTGCTTCATTTGTACCTTCTTTCCAAAGATTGAGTCCCTTCTTCTTTCTAACAATTAACGGTAGAAGTACGAGGCTCGGCTCAATGAACACAGAATACGTCCGAATAAAAAACACAAAAAAGTTGCATGAGTTTCTTATAGTAGAAACGATAGGGAGGAGCGTCTGTTGGTTTGTTGTCATTCTTTGGCTTAGATAGGCGCGTTGAAGCATTGACCTCATACTATCCACTCCCCCTCCCCCCCCCCCTCTAGCATGCTGATTCCCGGGGGGGGGGGGGGAGTGCCTGTGAAACGATCACCCCGTCGCTTCCCCCCTGTGTCACCATACTAAAACAAGCTCCATAGACTCTCCGTTTATGTAATAAAATTCCCTACTAATTGAAGGCAAGAGTACTAGAACAAGCTAAGGGGAGTATAACTCAACAGAATATAGACAATTCATTTTCCTTTCCACACACTCAAATAAATTAGACTTGATCGCGGCTGCCAACGCATAGGGAAGCGGAAGTCCGGACGCTTGCTTGTGTTATTCTCATATATAAGACATTTTTATAGCATTCGAATGAATAATAACTATTTACTCGACTCCACTTTTCCTAGTTCTACTGGTTTTTACCTAATGCACAGATAAGTTGATAAGGCCTCAGCAACAATTACACCAATCGGTCTTCCTTGACCATGCGATCAAAAATGAAAGTAAGTCAAGACCAGCAACTCAAATTAAGAGTCAGTGTACTTCCTTATTTTTGTTTATTCAACTGCGTCAGTCTTTGATGAGGAATTAAGGGGGAGGTGGGATGGAGTCTCTAGCCAGTGGAACAAGGTTCGCAGAAATTGATATTGCTATTACATATCTCTAAGGACGAACACACATATGTCACAAATATAATGCTCGAAGACCTTAAACAGGTCGAACCAAAAAAAGAACGCGTGCATTTGCTCGCAATATGGCAGTCAATCTTCGTTATCACAGTGCCTCACAACATGTCTTTAAGTGTCCACGTGTCTCGGAAGTCTAACGTCCCAGCGGGATCGTCATGCGGATGCCGACTTCTCCCTGTGGCTTTCCTCGAAACGACTGTCCGTTTGCTCGGCCGAAGCTCTGCGATCCTTCACCGTAGGCCGTCACTTTTCCGCCATTTCTGAAGCGATGTACGTCATATTCTCCCCTGATGCCTACGTTGGCGCCGAAGTTGCGTCGGTTGTTGCCGCTTGCAGATCCAAACACTCCGATACGGTGCTAAAAAAAAAAAAAAAGGAACATTAGAACGATGGCAATTTCGCCTATCAGGGAACAATCACTAGACCCGGAACTTCATTAAGAGATTTTCAGAGAACTAAAACTGCATTCAGCTTCACCTAAATATTCATAGCATAAAACGCTAGGAGCCATTGAAGACAATCTATTGAAGCAATTCATTGCGATGAGTGGATAACGTAAGCTTCCGAACGGGCGCAGGGGCGCGCGGGAGGAGGTGTCACTGATCGTTTCACAGTTCTGGTTTTGATGTGTTAGCTCAAGGTGTCCGCTGCGAAGCACGAAGCTCCTTCGTGTGCCGAACGGAGTTGGTGAAGTCGCTTTGACCAATTGAATTTATATCCAGTAGAGGACTGTTTTGTGTAGAAATATGATAGGTGTGTAGGGTTCTGCTTCTCATAAAATGGACTTATAACTCACGAGTGCTTGTGATAAGGAAGACACCAATAAAGTTGTACCCTTGATAGCAGTACGCGCGATTCTTCGGAGATAAGTTAATAGGAAGGCTCACAGGCGTATACCCCTGTCAGACGCGCACGTGGAAGGCGTTCACCGGGAGCTATTTTAAAGGATCGGCGAACTAGCCTGCGCCAATAGGCGTAATATCGGGTGCAAATTCGCCGATACTTTAAAGGAGTTCGTTCTGAAGGAATTTAATTTGCCCGTCGGACAGGGATTTTACGAACGTAACTTCAATTCACCACAAAAATTATCATAGATACCCTCTATTATGAGAGCTTCAGTTTTAGATCAAGATTATGCTTAGTACAAACTCAAATCACACGAGAAGCTTCATGTTGTATGTGGATCATAAATATCCACGGAACAAATATGTTAGCAAAACAGGGCATGCAAACGCAAATCCAATTCGTCTAATAATGCAGTCTTGAAACATATTGACCAAGTTTAAAATGTGTATTATATATAATAACAAGATATCAGCTTACAATAAAAACATAGAGATAATATTTAAGCATAAGCAAGATTCATCTACGAACTATTCGACATATAAAAATGTCCCTCAACAAAAAATTGTAAATAAAATCGAAATGCCACTGCGTTAAACACATACTTTTTCAAGGTTTTCGTCAAATTTAAAAGGGATATTACATATCAAAACTATGTATCAGTTAACTATGAATGAACATAACGGTAATAATAAAAATGCAGGTAAGTTCCCCCAACAAACAATTTAAATACGTTTAGGTTTGCTGGTATCGGATATTTATCGCCACATATATTCATAAAAATTACGTCAGAACTTCGCCGATGGTCTATATTTTGGCCGTAAGCAGGAAATTTATTTTTGGTGACGTAAGCCGTAGTCACTTCAAACCTTATATAAAAAAAACCGAAGCGGCTTGAATATACAATAGTATTTCACTGAACACACTTTTGCATGCCAATACACAAATATTGTACGTTTTAGGATAAAAACAAAATTTACATGTAGAAAATTAACGTATTTATTTTGGATAATTCACAAAATGAACAATATGGCATGGGTTATACTTACACGAGGAGATGAACCCTTGAGGTCAAATTCCGGACAGCGTCAAGTTGAGGGGAAATAAGAGATTAATTAGCTTTTTGTACTTAAGCCAGGTAACACAGAAATATGTAAAAAGAGGTTGCAGTCTATTAACGTATTTATAGTACCTATTTTTACAGATATATATATATATATATATATATATATATATATATATATATATATATATGAAGCTATTTTCCCCCCAAAAAACACGTGCAAGTTCTATTTTAGGACCCTCAAAATGTTTATGATGTGTATCTTATAAGGGAAGCAAAAAAATAATATTTGTAATATTCGGTGCCTCTGTTCCCGAACACAGTCGTATTATATACCGCGTGTATATGAGAAGATTTTTTTAAACCTCCAAAATATGCTTTGCAAAAAAAAAAAAAAAAAAAAAATCTCTTTTTGAGAATTGACTGCCGACCACGGCGGACGTCAGGAATTTTACGAGACATAATATTTAGCAAAATAATTACCTATTCAAAAAAATTTATTTACGTTTTAATGAGCGAAAATAAACATATACTCAATTGAGAAACCCGATGAGCGCCATAGATCATTTTCAAATCAGTCAATTTTAGAACAACCAGGAGCACATAAACAGTGTAGCTTTCCCTTGTTAGGCTGAAGCGCATACCCAGCTCGACGCGCGTGGAGCGAAAGCTCGCGCTGCAGAACCCAGGGATTCTGAGTTCGAGCCCCACTTCTGCCTGTTTCAATCTGGATGAGCATCGTATCGGCGTGCGGTCTTGTATCACTACTGCGTGAGTACGTTAAAGACCCCAGGTTAGCCGTCGTACTGCACTGGCTAAATTGCTCATCTACAGTGTAGACCAGTGTCGTCCCTACTGACACACCAACCTTACGCTGTATAAATCACTAAAATGTGCAATTTGACTTTTTTTTACCACTCGTGCAACCGACGCAAGGATTGCAGAAATGCGAACCATAAGAATATCATCCACGGCTTTCGACGGCCCTGAGCAAGTTTTTAGTCGGAGCCACGCGTCAATTTTAATGAATTAAATTTTTAATTAGTCAAAATTAGGTACTTATTTTGCTAACTAGTGTGTCTTGCGCAGTCTTTGACGCCCGCCATGATCAGTAGTACCTTCTTGAATTTTTTTAAACGCAAGAATTGTAGTAATTATAAGAAACTCCCGTTTTTACAGTACACATATCGTTCACCCGTTAATGTAAATAGAATAAAAAGTAAAAATAATTGTAACCTTAGCAGGAGCTGCTAATACATAGGGACAAAGGGATGTGTTCTATTATGTTATTTCGTCGGTTCGCTTCCATGCTATCTTTTATTTTGTAATAAAGAAATGCCCCAGAACTAAAAGGGCCATATTTTCACAAAAAGAATTGAGAGACATTCTGTTACTCTTTCGCTGAGAGTGGAAATTATAGATAATAATTGACCAAAAAAGGCAACAAAACTTGACTCATATTTTCGAACGACGGAGGAGTCATGTTAATTTGTTTTATGAAATATCAAAAGGTGTAAATGTAAATGTCACTTTAAGTAAGAAAAACACTTGCTGGATGAACAATGCGGTAGTGGAGATCTGAATCCTTAGTGAAGAAATTGAGAAATTGCGATATCAATAAAGAGATAAGTCGTGAATAAAAAGAAGCAAAAATGAGGGTCCTAAGGCATTTCCTTGTTGTACTCCGAATTTTAGTGATGCGGGGAATGTTAAGCTGTCGCTTCATTCGCAAATATTACGAATAGGGATCAATCTGCAAACGTGACACCGCACCAAAAAACGAACAGGGAAAACACCAAAGTTGAAAAGTAACTGTTAAGCACACGAACTACATCTATCAAGACCTTTCAATGCTTCATGCATGATAAATGGTAATAAATAAATAAGTTATTATATCAGGCCGAAACCTTGATTCCCTAAATGCTTTCAAACACCAAGAACGCTTCGAAATGCGACATCATTACCACCGAAAGTCAAAATATTTGACGGCGTAAGAGTTAGAAGTCCGCGTCCTGAAATGACCTACGGGATGTGCTAACCACTCTACCGCTCCACCACGACTTTCTGGCGTTTCCTATTTGTGTTATTAATCAACAGAAATGCATTGTATTCAATCAGAGGTGTTCTGGAAGCACACGTTGCCACGTGGAACGCGATACGACGCTTGCTGGCACGTTGTACGTGCTCGTTTAACTCCAGACTTCCTCTCATTGTTTGTTTTGTCACGTGCACATGTATTCTTTATGTTTATAAGCTTTAGAGACACGCCGTCATCATCTGCAGGAATCAAGAGCCGCGTTTGAATATATCACGGCCACATTTGTTATCATCCGTGGTCTCCATAAGAGAAATAATCGAAAATATGCACATTAATGAACCGTGCAGGATCGAAATAATTAAAGTTTTACAAAACCACCGAAAGCTCAAATATTTCGCGGGGCGATTGTTTGAACACAGGCCCACACAAAAAATTTGAATCCGTCAAATTGTTTCTTTTTTGGCAGTTTCGAAAATTTTGATTCATTCGTTCAAATGCGGTTAGATCATATCTATATTTTCGAATATTTCCTCCGTGAGACCACGTACGATGATGAAAGGGCCGATGATATATTCAAACGTGACTCTTGATACCCTCATAGGATGATGATACAGTGTATCTAGAGCTCACAAGCAAAACAAATGCGTGTACATGTGACGAGAAAAACAGTGATAAGCATCCTGGAGCACATGCACGTACCAGGGGCCAGCAATCGACGTACTGCGTTCCTTGCGGCGGTGTGTGCTTTCAAAACTCGTGGTTGCCCACATTTCATTCCTGTGCAGTAAAAAAGCAGATAAAAAACTCCGGAAAATTACAGTGGAGTGATGTAGTGGTTAGCACACCCGACCGGACATTGAGAGGCCTAGAGTGCAAATCCTAGCTTCGCCAAATATTTTAGCTTTCGACGGCTTCGTAAAAGTTTGATTCATAAATTCAAATAAATTAAATAATCACTTTCTCCCCTCTTTGTTCACAATATATATATATATGTGTATATATATATATATATATATATATATATATATATATATATATATATATATATATATATATATATATATATATATATATAACGGGCAAAAGGTATAGCTACGCTTCCGGGAAATATATGGGTACGAAGGAGGTTGCACAGACGCAGCAATTGAAGGATGGCAAAAAAAAAGTTTATTTGATAATGCTAATGAAAAGAAAATAAAGCAAAAAAATAGGTGAAGAAGTAAACTATTGACAGTATATTAACAAAAATATTATATGCACCAAGATTCGAGACAAACAGAACAATTTAAACGCACGTAATGAAATATATAACATAATAAAACAAGTTTACAGGCAAGGAATTAGCGCTAAATATTAGTGGCCAAATAAATAAAAGTGCGCTACGCGGGGAGGCGTGGATGTTCCGGCAGAAGCGCTACCTTCTTCGGGACTTAAGCCCATTTGACGCTGAGAAGTTTATTTTATGCACTTTCGAAACGGTGGTTGAACTTTATCGCGAAGTTTGATGCCATTTAGTACATGGTAGTTTTGCGAGAGGCTATCATGCTAATAACTGTGCAAAAAATGTCGTTGATGGCAGTTGGTCTCGGGTCCAGATAACTTTGAGTTATCTGGACCTGAGAACATTGTTACCTGGACCAGATGTCAACTGTCCTCATACACTTTTGACCAAGATAGTAGCACGATGGAAACTCCCAAAACTACCTCGTACTAAATTATCTCAACCTTCTTGATAAAGTTTCCCCTCCTTCTCAAATTTCGCATCAAATAGACTTGTAATCGTCAAACTGGCTCAGTCCCGAAGAAGGCAGTGACAGTGCCGAAACGTCGACGCCTACCCGCTAAGCAAGATTTTTATTTTCCCACTAATCTATTGGTGTAATTTCTTGCGAGTAAACTTCGTTTATTATTTTATACATTCCTTCACATTCGTTTAAATACCTCTGTCTATCTCGAATTTTAGTGTATATTATATTTTTATTTTACTTTCAGAGTTTTACTTCTTCACCTACTTCTTGCTTTATTTTCTTCCTACTCATATTATCAAAGAAACTTTTCGTACTGCTTTCATCCTTCAACTGCTGCGCCTGTGCACGCTTCTGCGTACCCACACACACACACAAATATATATATATATATATATATATATATATGACATCGAATGGGTCAAATTTTACGAAGCCATTGAATGTCAAAATATTTTGGCTTCATTTGACACCTTCATCAAGATGTATAAACTAGGGGAATGCAACCAAGTACACAGTGAAAAAATGGTGTACGTACGAACTGAGCTGCCGTGACTGCAAGAACTGGAATAAAACAAAATAATATGTTATCACCTGCGGCAATTGATTATCACAAAACAAAAAGAATGTGACGGGCATCTAAAATATAAATAAAACGTCATAATACGAAAAAAAAACTTAGGATTAATATCCTTAAGTCTTTACCTAAGTCAAATATTTCAGCACCGTGACTTCGAGCGCGCTTAAAGGGATACTGTACCGAAATTTAGATTTCGCAAAGTAAGGCTGCAGAAGTGTTGAACGGGACGCTATGAACTCCAAAACATCACTCGTACATCGATATCTCAAACGGATGGCCGTACTTTTGGAAAAGAAGGGCGCGATCAAGCGAGTTCTTTGACGTAACTGTCCTCCGGGAGAATGTGAGAATGAGGAGAAGCGGCCTCGCTTCTCTCCTCCTCGCTTCGGTTTTCCAGCTTGACGGGATGTAGCGAGGAGGAGAGAGAATGGGAATCGTGACGTGCCTTGTCGCGTCGGCCTCGTCGGCCGGGTTCAATCGCCGCACTTCTTTTCCAAAAAATGCGGCGATCCGTTAGATATATCGCCGTATGAATTATATTTCTTGGTTTTGCAGCTTCCCGCCTATCCGCCCGGCCTTGTTTTGTGAACTCGAATTTTCGGTTCAGTATCCCTTTAAAAAGGCGATTTGGTACGAATCACGCCCTATAGGGAGTATTCACTGGCGGCCGCATCCGTGTGCGCTGCTGCTGAGCGCGTGCTGATGGCGAGCTTCCCATGTCTGCGAAAGCTCGCCATCAGCGTGCATTTAGCAGCCTCAAGGTTGCTGGTCTTAGCAGCCTATTAATGTGAGCTCGTTCTGAGCATGCGGTCTAAACAGCACCCACAAGTATGGCGTTCACTGAATACCTCGTCTACCTCGCTTCTAAAATTTTCTGATATGCGCGCATGACTTCGACATAAAGAAAGTTTAGTATGATGCGTATCGTTTAGCGACTAAATCAAAACCTACAATGGTTTTAGTTGTGGACATGTGATCTGATGATAAAAAAGTCTCGCTTTCGATGTGTTTATGTTAAATTACTTCGATAGCAACATAACTCAAATGTCGTCGAGGATATCAGATAATCGAGATAAAGAAATCGAGATAAAAACAAGTGTGCCGATACCTGAGAGATAGGTAACGCACTGAATATAGTTTTCATTGTTCTCACGTTACCGAAATCAGTGGTATCCTTGAGCTTCGAAATAAAATTAAATTGAAAATTGTGTTTGTCGGCGTTGCAGCACACTCTAAAAACTGTCGCTTGTCTTTGGAAGCTTGAGTGACAGGTTTAAGACTTGTCTGTTACGTCCACTAAATGAGCAACCAACTCGCCCTATAGGAAGTTTTGACAATTGAAGATCAATTGCACTCTCCCCCCCCCCCCCCCCCTTCCCCGCTCAACTCGAATGAAACGAAGTCAAGGCCCAGTTCTTATGACGTTAACGCAGTGACGTCCTGTAGAAATGAGATAGTTTCTTCCTTTCTGTGCTATAAAATAATAAAACAAAAATATGCCCTGAGCAACATTGCATATCCTTAACTTACAACGCGAGTTATTTAAATTAAGGAGATTTTTACTAAATTGAAAAAAAAAACATGAAAATAATAGGGCTTTTTATAGAAGTACCGAATAAAATGGCAGCACAACTTACCGGCCATTACAACCAGCAGGCACAGAAAGGAACGAGACATGTTTCCACTGGCTTTCACTTTCTCGCAGAGAATATATCGAAGCCATTTGCCTCCGGAGGCTTATATAGTTATTCCCGCGCGAGACAAACAGCGCGATCCCGGACGAAAACGAGCATTGCACGCTGCGTTGCCAAGCAGCAGTCAGAAGACACGGCAACGTCCGCTTCCTCCAGCTGACAGGGAAAAACGGTGTAGGAAACGATGGGTTTCTCCGATTGAAGGTCGGCCTTGATCGTAACGCCGCAAACGTTGGCGTACCCATTCAGACCCTCTGCCGATGCAAGTGAGCAGCTCCTGTAGTGGAATTTAATGACCGGAAATGTCCCGTAACGCCTTAGGCTACTCTTGTGTAATGTTTACGCTGAACGTACGAAGTCGTGTCATTTGTGCGCGAATATATATATATAATAGGAGTGAGGAGCGATTGAAAAGTGCAGCCGTAGTAATATTGTGAATGAAGAGGGGAGAGAGTGATTATTTAATTACTATTAAGAGAAGGGGAAAAGATAGAGAGCTGGCGAAACACTGGGCCAGGAGCGGGGAATGAACCCACTGTGCAGCCTGTCTGGGGGGGTTCAGAATATTGAAAGACAGGCCCTATCCAACATATGCAAGGTGAAATGATGTGCCACGTCACTGCTGCAACTAGGAGCTAGCATGGGCCTTAAATCGGTAACGGCTGTCGTCTACCCAAATAAGCGAATTCGAAACTAACAGTACACAGAGACACAGGGTGCTGGTCAAAAATGGAGTCCGTCGGTTAAGGCGTCACCCCGGATAGGCGTCTGCTATATATATATATACATATAAAACTGAGAAGAAAAAACCCTTAGTGAAAAACAGCAACAACGGACGATTTAATCTTCGACGTTTCGGCCGGAGTCCGGCCTTCCTGGCGAAGGCCGGACTCCGGCCGAAACGTCGAAGATTAAATCGTCCGTTGTTGCTGTTTTTCACTAAGGGTTTTTTCTTCTCAGTTTTATACCCACGCCTTCGGCCTCCCGCCACCATGCCCGTTATATATATATATATATATATATATATATATATATATTGTGAACGAAGAGGGGAAAGAGTGATATACAGGGAGTTTTTTTCTTCTAAGCTTAACAGAATTTTTTTTTTTTCAAAATCCATGAAAGCCAGATTAATGCTGTCTGCGCAGGTGAGTTATACGTCCAGGAGGACATAATATACAGGCTAATCGTAACGATCAGTCGGCTAATTAGTTAGAATTCGTTAATGAACTTTTTAATTAATTAAAATAGGCATATAGTTTCAATTAGAAACTTGCTGGGCGTCATCGAAAACCCCTAAATCAGTTATTTTCAGAAAGACTTTGAGCGCGCGAAAAGCGTAGTAGTGCACTAAAGTTAGCACTCGTGCAGCACGTACAAAGCTAGCGGTTGCAATAAGGCGCCCGCGCAATTTTTCCGTCCATTATCTAGCCTCAGCCTTGTGTCTGCTCCACGAGCGGTAACTTTAGTGCACAACTACGCTTCTCACGCGTTGAAAGTCTTTCTGAAAATGACTGATTTTCTGGCTTTCGATGACGCTGAGCAAGTTTATAATTGGAACTATGTCTATTTTCATCAATTAAAAAGTTAATTACGAATAATAACTAACTAGCCGACTGATCGTTACGATTAGCCACCTATACTATGTCCCCCTGGCCGTATAAGTCACCTGCGCAGACCGCATTAACCTAACTTTCATGGTTTCTTCTTAAAAATTCCGTTAAGCTTAAAAAAAACACCCTGTATATATATATATATATATATATATATATATATATATATATATATGGGTGGTTTCATCTCAAATCGTGCAGGCAAAAAGGGTCGAATTTTTAATTTCGATGAAAAAAATATATGTTATGGCGCCGTTTCTAAAACCGCAGTCGACACAAACCGCAAGTTCGTCGGATTTTTTGTTCTCGACCTATGAATTTTTAAAGAGACCGCGGCGAAAAGCAGTGTTTTTCACACCCGTCGTGGGTCGGATGTTTCGCTTGATCTCCCGCCATGGATTTTCAGTCCACATTATATCAACTTTTTTGAAGCACTCTGTGGACACATTTAAAAGGCTCCATTACCATGAAATAATTTTAGGCCTTTTGCTTTTTTTCTGTAAAAATGTCAAAAACGCCTCCTCGGTCAATTGTTGACGCACTTTGACAATTAATTACTGGCGATCTACTTGGGTTACACCGGTATTTATTATGTCCACGGAGAGCCCAAAACACGCTCTTTATATTTATTATAAAATGCCTTGGCTGTATAAATATCCTTTGCGGTACGTTTACGTTAATATTATGCAAAAACCAAAAAGTGCCATTTTTGAAATTGATTTTCTCAAAAAACCCATTTTTTATATTTTTTATTTTTTGTTCGAATGTAGATATGATAGTTTTCTACACGAAAATCAAGCCTAGAAAGTGTATATTTTGTTTGCATGTTTTATATTTAGGCCTCAATATCGAAAAAAGACGTCTTTGTTTTGCAAGACCTAAGTCAGACATAGCGACCCATGCGTCTCTATAAATTGTGAAAAAGTTTTCTTGAATTTTCTTCTGCATTTTGTAATCAATTATAAACGAATTTTGTGGTATTGAATATTTATGTATGTTTTGATAAGAGCGGGAACCATGAGATACATATCTAACCAAATCAGCAGGCCTAGTAGACTTTCAATAACCAAAAGGCACAGACGTTGTATTGTTTCGATTTATAAACCTTTCAAAGTAAACTAGCACGACTAGCTATTAGCTGTCATATTACTAAGACAAAGAAAGTCACCACATCGTCGATATATTATATACACTTCTTTACGAAACCAAACACTGGGGCTTGTTCACCGCACATCGCACAGGTCACCAGGGAATGTCCTTTCACTTCCGTAATACACAAAAGTGGTGACACAGAAACGGTCCGAAACACACAGAGAGTGTGTCATGGAGAGGGGTAGGAAATAAAAATAAATAAATAGGAATTAAATTGCCCAACTCCGATCTTAAGGAAATTGCGTAAAAAAAAAAAAGTATTTAGGTTCGAGCGGTGGCAAGGCGATAGGTCCACGCCTGGTGGAGAGTCAGACAAAGAAGTCGACGGCGCGTAAAGGTAAAACAAAAAAATACCAATAATTTAATAAAGACGGGAAAACTCAGCCGCACATGGCAAGAACAAAAACCAACTCCCCCCGGGCATTCCCTAAACGGGACGCAACCAAATGCGTGCGAACACGCTGTCTACATCACCGCCAGGCCTCTACGCCATGACGAAATAAACCCAACAACTGAACAGTGCTAACAAACAGTTAGTAAGAAAACATTGAAAAAAAAACGAAAAAAAAAAAAACGTTCAGAAAAAACCGCACCCGAGAAACAAAGTTCAGCGGGGTGAAGAAACACACACGAGTCGGTCCCACGACATTGAAGTCTGGCATGATGGCGGCGTCCAGATGATGCTCGAATCTGTTCCTCCCTCTATTACGCACATCCACGACGGCTGTGCGGAACAGTGGCTGTACGAAAGAAAGAGAAGAATAGATTCGAGCAGGCGATGCGCGAGAAGGTAACCGAGACTATGCTTCAAGCTTCATATTGGGAGAAGAGCTTTCGAGGTAGTTTCTGCAGTTACTCAAACTTTCTCTTTCCCCTTCCCTTTTTCAAAAGAACACGTCAGCCGGCGCTAACGTTTCATCTCGGAAGAAGCCCACTCTTCACAAACGGTTATAGTTGACAAGGGCGCCGCCATCTTGAAATGTCGTCACTTCCAGTATGGGCGAAAACATTGTTTTGCCGTCGCCACGCCAATAGAAGGCATTTAGGACATGAACCTCACCGTCACACATTCTCGTTTTGGCTCCCCTCTATTTTTTTGCTAGTTACATTTTGAAACGTTTTATTATTTTGTCGTCGCCCATACTGGAAGTGACGACAATTCAAGATGGCGGCGCCCCTGTGGAAAATGTCTATAGTCTCCGGGTAGAATACAAACACAAGTATATTTACCAACACGCTCGTTTTAATGTCAGTCTCCGGGCTTTGCTGTTTCCAAAAGAGATAAAACTTTATAAGGACAGAACGAGCGGGTTGGTGGGGATAATTAAACTTAAACACTCCCTTCTAGTTTTCTTCCTCAAGTTTAATAGATAACCCTTCGGTGCTATCGGATCTCCCCGGAGAGAGAGAGAGAGCACGGCCGTTTCAAGGTAAGGATAGGGCGCTCGAAGCTAGGGCAAACATGCGGTATCGTTTCACGCATGCACGGATGGCTGGTTTCAAATTTCACCACATCCCTAACGAAACCGGCCCATCTTCGTGTGTGCGTCTGCGGGATTTCTGTCCCGCGCCGCCGGTTTTAGCGCGCACGCGGCGTTGTTTTGGCTGGCAGAACAGTTGTTGACCGTCGACATTGTAAGGCCGTGGTGTCCTCATCCTTTCAGGCAACGATTCCTTTGCTTTCCCTTGTGCAATACTCTGACAGACTCCTCCTGGGTGGCTGTCACTGTTCGCCGCGCCAACGACACAATCGTACCATTTCACTTTCGGTGACACAGGGTGCGCTGCTCGCTTTACTGTCACGGGCCGTCCCATCTAACACAACGAGCGCGAAAGGTCGTGGTCATCCGCTGGCTCCGAAAGGGCGGGACGTTCATGCAGGCCAATGAGGGCCCCGAATCAATAAGACGTCTGCCGACCCCTACACGTTAAAAATTTACGACACCTGCTGGTGTGTTAAGAAGTGTTGCTTTCTCTTTTTGGAACTCCTCCGATGTAACTTGCCGGCTATAATAAAATTTAAATATTTAATAAATATATCAGGGTGGAAATACTGTATATCATTTTTATGTGGGAACGTTGAAAAAAAGAAAAAAACTATTTCCAAGCTCGTGAAGACGCGCAATTCGCAAGTCCATTTCGAGCCGTAAAAACACGTTTTTGTACGATATTGATGCTTAAATGTAGAACATACAAACACAATATACATTTTCTAGGCTTGATTTCCGTGTAGACAACTATCATATCTACATTTCAACAAAAAATAAAAAAAATAAAAAATGTTTTTTTTTAGAAAATCAATTTCAAAAATGGTACTTTTTGGTTTTTGCATAATATTAACGTAAACGTACCGCAAAGGATATTTTATACAGCCAAAGAATTTTATAATAAATATAAAGAGCGTGTTTTGGGCTCTCCGTGGACATAAAAAAATATCGGTGTAACCCAAGTAGATCGCCAGTAATTAATTGTCAAAGTGC